AGGCAGGGCAGCAAGGGAAGTCAAGTTCTCTTGCGGGGAAGTAGCTGAAGTTTAAGAGCCAGGAAACGAACAGCAAAGAGGCAGGATTTCCTTGGCCTTCTTTCACTAATAAATCATATCCTTTATTGTCCAGTAACTTGGAAGAGAAGAACTGGAGAGGCTTTGCCCTTACTGAGCGGAGACTGGAAACATCTGGGAGTAGGAGGTGCAGGGAGGTCAGGAGGAGGGGGACGGAGGGGAGATGCAGGGAGAAGAATCCAGGTCCTGGTCTGGGTCCAGGAGGAGCCCATGTACCGTCCCAAGTGCTAACTGCTGGGTGAGGGCTGGCTGCAGACTCGAGTCCCTGCAGCCTAGGTCAAAGCCACTTGCACACTATGGTATAAATGGCACAAATATACTGTTCCATGTTGGAGCTGTTTTGTTCCTGTCTTTTCTACCTATGTGTTTGGAGTTTTTTCCTACCCACACCTTTCAGTCTCTCTTTCTGAGGAACATACGCACCTCTGTCCAGTTTGAGAGAAGCCACTCCCTGGGGCAGTCTTCTTGCTTGCAGTCTTGCTGGGAGGCTGGTTTGGGGGCAGAGCAGAAGGTGTCAGGAAGCTCCAGAAAGCTGCCATCAGCCATGCGCTGCTTGCAAAGAACCTCCCGTTTCTGAACACCTCCTCCACAGGTCCTGGAGCACTGCGGGGAAGGAGAGAAAGTAACTCAGCATGGGAAGACTGTCCGACTTCCAGTTTTCACCTTGGCCTTGGCTGAGAATATTGGAAAAAAAAAAAAGGAAAGACGAAAAAGGAAAGACAAACCAAGAATCAGGCCAAGGGGTTTTGCTTTCTCCTTTGAAATAAATTTCTTAGCAAAATCTGCATACCCTGCACTCTTAATCCCGCGTATTCAACTTGAGGAATTTCCAGGGCCTCGGAATCTTAGAAAATTGCTCCTGGACTATGATTTGTAGTCACTCAGACAACTGGTTTGAAAGGTTCTTGAAGCAGAGTGTTCAACACATTTATGACTCACGGAACACACTCTCTGCTGCTTCCAGAGTGAGCAGCAGCGAGCTCCAGCCCTCAGAAGCAAGCCGGAGGTTACTCTGCGGAAGGCGCAGTCCTTTCTCTCCAAGTGCGAGCACCACTTCACCACGCTGGCAGCACGAGGTGGAGGCCTGTTTTTCTGAGAAACCTCTTTGGAGTACTTTTCTGGCTGGAGTGGTGATACCGTAGGGAAATGGCAGCGAGAGCTGCTGGAAGTTAGAGTACAAGAGAAAGGGCCTCCTCACGTGACTCGCTTTCAGCGGGGTGGCGATACAAAACGTTGTTTACATGTAACTTAATAGTTTTAATCCAGCTGCACGAGAGGAAGCAAAGCCCTCTGAGACACAGACCGCTGGGTCTGCCAAGCATTTGTCCCCTCAGGCAAAAGCAGTCCCCAGGGTTAGCAGGGCACGGGACTTCTCAGCATACACTCTTTGGCAACCTCCCTTGAAGGTAGATATGGCCACTTGACTAAATACTTGCTGCTGGATACAGACACATGGGTTGTGTGCAGCAAAGGGTGTGGCCTCTTTTCCCTTTCTTTTCTCCTCACTGGCTGGAATGTACACACTGGGAACTGCAGCTTCCTTCCTGGACTGTGGTAGGCAGAAGGATAAAGGCGGCCTGGTTTCCTGGTTGTGAAGCCACCACATCTACCTTGGACTGTGTTATGTGACAGAAATGCTTCTGCACCCCATTGAAGCCAGTGCCATTGCAAGTTTCTATCACTCAGTCTGATGTAACCATAGGGAGTACATCAAGGCAACAACTACTCTCTGCTGGGGCTGGTTTACTGTAGTCATGTGAAGGGCGCTCTGTTTCTTCAGGAATACTCCCTGCCTTCACTTGCTGCACTCGGGCCCACTGAGAAACTGGGCTGGGTTTGAGAAGGCTGAGCTCTGGCTTTGTGGGGGCAGCTCTTGGGGCAGCAGTGTTCCTCTCAGGACCGGCCCCCGGGGGTTCTGCGCTTTGTCATTTGGACTTAGAATCACAGTGGGGAGTTTTGCCTGCAACCCAGGATATGGTGGCGATAATGATGTCCTAGGGTGCTGTTAGATTTACATCTCGATGTCCCCCAAAGCCTCACGCACTCGTAAGTGGGGCTCTCGGGGTGGCTGGATCGTGGGTGTGTGACACTGGCTCAGTCCACTGATGGGCTCATAGCTGGGCGTGACGGAAGCCCGGTGGGAAGAGCTGCTCACTGTGGGCGAGGCCTGGAAGGGTCTGGCTCCCTCCTCCTGCCTTGATCCTGGCTGCTTCCTGCCTTCAGGCTGTGAGCTGGCTCTCCTCTGCGATGCCCCTCTGCCGGGGAGCCAGATGACTATGGACTGAAAACTCCACAAACTGTGAGCCGAAATAAACCTGTCCTCCACTAACTTTAGCTCAGGTATTTTGTCCCAGAAATGAGAAAGTAACTCAGGAACAGTTACAACACTCCTGTGGCACAGATTTTACTCTTGTTCAGTAGCCTCAATCCTGGAGAGACCCTAATATTGCCTGGAGCTTTTACTTTCATTTGTTTTTAAACTTTATTAGTACACATCTGTCATACATGTTGACCAGTTTCATCATAGAGAACTTGTACCTGTACACAGTATATCTTCATTTTCTCTTGTTCTTTTCCCCTCCCTCCAACTCTTCTTCCCTCCCATTTACAAAAGCTTTGTTTCCATTTTTTCCTTTCCATTCTTTTTTTCCTTTGTCCTTCTTTCTTTCCTTCCCTGCTCCCTTTCCCATCTGAACATATTCTAACTTCAATATCTGTTCCCTGTTATGTTCCTTATTTACCCTTTGGTTTTCTCACGTAAGAGAAACCATGTGATACTTAAATTGTGTGTCTGATTTATTTCATTAAAGATTATGATCTCAAGGCACATCCATTTTCCTACAAATGACTCATGCATATCCTTCTTTATTGCAGAGCAGTACTTCATTGTATATAAATACATTTTCCTCACCCATTCATCTGTTGATGGGCATATTCACCTAGGAGCTTTTAAAAAGTACTGGTGCACAGGATTACTGAATCAATTTCTGGAATGAGGTTCCAGGTACCAGTTTCTTTTTAAAGGACTTCCTAGGCAAGATAACTCCCCCAGATAACTCTGCTGTGCGGCTAGAGCTGAGAAACATCTTTCCAAATTACTGCCCTTCTGCTACTCCTGGTGAAATTAAAATTTCACCAGGAGGAACGTCTAGGGCTCAGAGAGTCCTATTATGACCAGTGGTTAGCCGGACCCCACCCAAGCAAGTACGCCATTTGTTTGCAAAACACTTGAGGTCACAGATGTATTGAATCATGATATCAGAAAAGCTAGCAACTTTGGTTCATGAGCCTTTTAATTCTAGAGACTTTCAAGTGATCTAGACAGGGTGGGCCACCTCTTCTTGCATTTAGAATTTTAAAAGTTCAAAATAAAAAATAACCTTATTGAATCTAATAGGGGAAAAGGGTGCATTTTTCTTACTACTAGGATCAAGTGGTTACCATCGGAAGCTTACAAAAACGGTGAAGCCATCCTGTGCAGTAGATCTATTCCCACGCTCCACATGAAGGAGCTAAAGTTCAGAGACGAAGTTACTCAGTGAAGGCCATTTGGGCTAGAACTGGTTTATGCCCACTTAGTGCCACATTCACCAATCTCCTGCTGCAAACTCACCCCTGCGGACAGCTGGGAAGCAAACCCAAGCTCAGTTTCTCCCTCCTGTGTTGTAGCAAGTCTTCTCCGTCACAGAACCATGGGAGGTCCTCCGACTGGCACTTCACGCCAGGGCCAGGCCTGCCGACAGCCTTGTGTCACCCCATTGGAGGGTGGCGCTTTGCAATGCAGATCTCAGCCTCCCACTTTTAGGACCATCACTGACTGCCAGCCTAGAATCTAGGTCGGGGCCCAACTGTTTTGGAACAGTTCATCTACACTGCTGACCCTAGAAACTTGTTCTCCTCAAATGCCTTGATTCCTGAGCCGACAAGCTACCTTTGAACGCAGTTCCCCGGCGAGGCACTGCAGCAAGAACATGTGTGGCAGTCTGCAGGGCATGTGTTGCTCGTCAGATCCAAGCAGTAACTGCCAAGGGCTTTTCTAGCATCTTATGCCCTTGCTTAAGAAAAAAATCTATCAGCCGCAGACTTCTGGCTTCTTTGTGACTCACTTCAGTGACTCCTTGGAGTCGTTATTAGAGAAACACAGTTTTACTTTAGCTCTTATTTAGATGCAATTCAACAAAATATTAAAGAATTTCACTTTGATTCATTTTGTACTCACACTGCCTAGTACAACGCCCTCTGTTAATGTGAGTCTTTGACAAATATTTGCAGCCTGATTTAACATTGGTACTTAGGGGAAATTTAACTTAGTGGCTAAGAATTTCACTTATTTAGAAAAACTCTTCCTGTAAGTACGGATGACTAAGGTTTTAACAGTAGATGTCCAGACTTCTGCATGACTTCTTAGGTTCCAGTTTCTGTTAGCTTTGTTAAATTCTCCCTCTAACAATCAGTTATGTTATAATCATGTAAGTTATGACCTTTTATTGTTCTGTCTTCAGAATTCTTTTATAATCAGACAACCAGCCATGTGGATTATTGACTCCTAAGGACTTGCCAAACAGGGGACTGTGTTCTCTACAATATTTTCCATTCCGTGAATTACTAAAATTTTTCCACAAATTTAGCATAATTTTTTTGAAGCCACAATTATCTGAAAGAAATAACTTTATGGTGACAAAAAGTTTAATCTTATGCTTTGACTTCTCCGCTATGCCCGTTCAGAATGTAAGTCGGTCTCTCGACTTAAACGTATCTGAAATGAAGCTCTTACTGCAGCCCCTCCAACCTCACCCACCCAATGGCTCCTTCCTTCGTCCTCCTCAGCAGCTCCATGGAACGGTGTCTAGGATAAAGACTCAGGCCGTAGCTGAGTTTCCCACTTCTCACAACCCCTTCCCTAGAACTCAGTTCAGGAGCAAATGTTAGATTTGCCTCCAAAACAAAGGAACTATCCCTCCAAAATAAACAGTAAGCCAGGATATCATCTTCTCTTGCCTAGACTACTGCCAAGCTTCCTAATTTCCCAGGGCTATGATCTGAACGTTTGTGACATCTGTCTTGCCACCATTCATATACTACTGAAGGAATAAACTGCTAGGAAGTGGTGTGTGGGGGGGTGGCCTTCAGGAGCTGCTTAGAACATTCCTTATGGGAGAGGTTAGTTCTTTCACAATAAAAAAGGCCTCAGAGAGTTGCCTCACCCTTTCACTGTATGAAAACACAGCTAGAAGGTGCCATTTATGAACCAGGAAGAGGGCCTCACCAGACAGTGAACATGCCAGCATCTTGACCTTGGACTTCCCCTGCTGTAGAACTAGGAGAAATAAACTGTTCAGAACTACTCAGCCTATGGTATTTGTTCTAGCAACCCGAATGGATTACAACACTGAAGTCTAGTTTTGGTCAGATCCTAGCAAGATATAGATGGTGTGGACAGCTGTGATAATTTGGAGAGAGCTCTTGCCCTCTCCAGGGGCCTGGGGAAACCCACTGGCTAAGCACCGCCAGAAAGCAGTGGAAGGGGGCTGACTGATGTCGTCTCTGTGAGCTTCCTGGGGCACAGGTAGCCGCCTGCATCTGTATCACCAGCTTCCTGCGGC